ACGCCCTCAGTCGTCTTGCAATCTGAAAAGAACGTGGTTCACCTTCTTTCACGCCTGGGACGGGGGGGGGGAAGAAATGAAAGGAGGAGGATAGGACGAGGGACGGGGGGAGTGTTGTTTTTCTTTGTGACGTTTTCACAATTTCTAAGCAATAGGTGGAAGAGACGGACAATGAGGAGATCGTGGACAGGCGGGGGGGCTTTTTTCCCTTCTTTTTGCAGCCGTTGTTCCACCAATGACAGGGAGTTTTTTTTTGTTGTTTCGAGTGAATACTGCAAATCAGTTATGTGGATTTGTCCATCTAATGGACTTGGAAACCGGCTCTGTATCTATTCGTGATCGTTTCTGGCTTGCCAATCGAATAAGAATCGTTTTTGTTTTCTTTTGTTTTTTTTTTTCGCTTTTTTTCCCGAAGGAACAGGACTGATGTTCTCCAGAATGCAAACGAGCCGGAGTCTTCAGGTTGGGCTCTCTATTCTAGGTTCGAACAGAGTGGTTGCTGACCAACCACCATCCATATTTAGGCCAACTTTTAGTCCAGATGCTTTACATCGAGGGTGTGTCTGTACCAGCTTCTTCTACTTATACCTGTGTAGAAGCAACGTCCACAATTTCGAACTTTTCGGCTGTCTCGATGGACCACATATTGGATTTGAAACTGATCAGAGCAGATACCACACTTCTTCGAATTTGAAACTGATCGGGGCAGATACCACACTTCATCGTGTGTGGGGGTAGTTAGATTAGGCTCTCTCTCTCTCTCTCTCTCTCTCTCTCTCTCTCTCTCTCTCTCTCTCTCTCTCTCTCTCGCTTCGTGCATGGGTGCATGCGTTTTCATTTTTTTTTTAAGGTCTCAATGGACCACAGATCAGATATGAAACTGATCAGATTATATCATACTTGCGGTGCACGTCGTGCGCTGCACTTGCGCACGTGCGGCGCAGGCCGCAGCGCGCAAGTGGCGCCCGCACGACGCGCGGCGCATGGTCGAAATTGCAGGGTACCAAAAAAAAATAAAATTTGTCGGTTCGGTTTTCGGGGTTAGGGGGGGTCCTAGGAAAATTACGATAACGGGCGCGAAAAATTTTTTGGAGGCCGCGCGAAGGCCCGTACTTCTTTTTTTTTTTTGAACAGTCTGAACCTGATTCGAAGTCTGGGGGGGGGAAGTCGGTTCTTTAATTTTGTTGTTGGATTG